CGTTTAACCAATACCTTGGATCAAGGTACAGTCAGACTTATTTTCTTCCTTTGGTAAGGTCTTTTAAAATTATTATTCACATGTCAAGTTAAAGTGATTTCTAAAAAAATAAATGTGTGGTAAGGAGAAAAAAATGTTAAAATGAAAGCATTAGCTAAATATCTAGGTTGCTTAGAATCCTGAGAAGAAGAGAGCAATTGAATCCAGTGGGGGAACCAAATAGCCCAGTAGGGTTATTTATATTTCCCAGTGTCTTTGAGGAGATTATTATTAGACTTAACATTAAAATATTCCACTTCTGCAAGTGCTCTGATGAAAGCATTTTGTTTTTTAAAAAGTGTCTGGAGAGTGCTTTTGATCGCTGGCTTTTATTAAGCAGCTCACAGTTTTGCTAGCTCTGTTTTACACTGGTAGTCAACTCTCCAGCAAATAGAACAATTTTACCCAATAGTTAGCCTGGGCTTGCTTCTAGCATCATTTTACCATCATTATGCTAAGATGCTGCCATAGTGAACATTTATGGAGCACTTATTGTATGCCTTGGGGAGCTTTATACCAAGAACTGAAGCTTAGTTTTCCTTTTCTCCAGAAGCTTATGGTCTAGTTTAGGGGATCGATACTAATATGTGAAACGATTACTAAATAATGAAGACAGAAAGCAGGTGCATATATGTCTATGTGCTCTGGAAGTTTAAACAGAGTTTCTCTCTGTGGGCTGTTCCTTTTTTTTCTTCCAGTTTTATTGAGCTGTAGTTGACATACATCGCTATATTGCAGGCTGTGCTGTAGGACAGACACCTCATCATAAACGTCTCTGAATCTTACAAAGGTCTAAATACATGTTTGGAATTTTATTGTCTTTAGTTGTTAAATCTAAATCAAAAGGACAGATCACAGTGTTTAAAAATAAGGTATACGTATGTTCCACGGCTTGTGCCTTACCAGGGCATGTTTTCTCATTATGTGTCTGCTTTTTCAAAAGTGGGGAACTTCCTTCACCCTCACCTTGATTATGTAAGGAATATGCTCTTTGTAGGTAAATTAGAAATACAGAAAAATGTCAAAAATGCCCGCCACTCAAAGATAGGCATTATTAACATTTTGGTGTACTTTCTGTCTTTTAAATACATATGTATACTTTTTTCTACTTACGTGTATATATTCATAAATATATAAGAAAATTGATGCATCGTGTACATACTACTTTTATATCCTATTTTTGTTTACTTGTTTTCAGTTAACATATGTAGTACTATTATATAGTACAGAGTGTAGCATTTCCTCCTGTCATTATATATTTTTGAAGGAATTATAACAGCTGAATAATATTGTTAAAGACAAAATTCAGCCAAGTAAATTTGGAGATCTGATTGGCTTTATTAAAGAATTCATGAGTCAGGCAGTGTCCCATCCAGCAATTCTTGAAGGGTGCTCCAAGGAGTTGTACAGAATGGAAGGTTTTGATAGCAGAAGGAGGGCAAGGAATTTATTAGCAAAAGAAGAGAAAGGATTGTTTCAGGCCAGGTCCTCTTCTTTGGTGGGAGGGAGCGGCAAGGGTCTCACGCAGTTTACCTTACTGGTGCTGATCAGGAAGTTTCAGCTGACTGCTTAAAGGTTGCATTTCTGCGAGAGCGTGAAACTGCAGTTAAGTCTTGGTTTGCTGTCGTGGGGGCAAATGACTCCATTTGGGGCTATTTCTTTTTTAACAATATTCTGTCATTGATATACCACAGTTATAATGCATTCCCTTATTTTTGCACTTTAGGTTTTCCATTTTTCATTATTATAAATATAAGAATGATAAGCATCTTTATGTAACTCTTTGACCAAATCTTATTGCTTTCTTAAGACAGAGTTCTAGAAGTAGAGTCCAGTGCAAGCACAAGGATATGAGCGTTTTCCAGAGCACTGATAGCTTGGTGTGTGTGTCAGACTGCTCTGTAGAAAGGCATTATCTGCTTACGCTTCCACCGGCGGGGAACCCAGGTTCCAATGGCATCTCGCCTCACAGGCATTAAATAAGATCGAAAACGTCTTTTCTTTTTGTTAATTTGGCAGATGGAGAATTACTTAATTTTTTTAAAATTTGTATTCTTTAAGTTTTTAATGAGGCTCACTCGATTTTTAAAAATGTATCGGCCGTTTGTTTCTCATGTTCTTTGCTCACTTAAAAAATATTTAGATTTATTTTTTTCTATTTTTAGATGTTCTTTATATACCAAGACCCTGTATTTATCCTTCATCCACCATAATATATATTACAAATATATTCTTCTGTTTTGTGTTTTGCCTCTCTACTTGGTCTGGGTGGTTTTGGATGTACAAAAAACATAAAATTTGTATGTTCAGTCAAATTCCTCAGCGTTTTCCTCTATGATTTCTGTCTTTGATTTAAGGGTCTTTTCAGGCTTAGGAGATGTTTCCCTATTCCAAATTAGATAGTCTGAACATCTTCTTAGAGTATTTAAAGTTTTTACAGTAAAAACTTTGTATAACAGTAGATGTTTAGAGCTACTTATTCTGTACCACTTCCACCCCAAAAATGTTCTTTGCCTTATGTTTTAAATATCTGACTGCTCAAATTTCTTCGTCCTTAAAAAAAAACCGCAAAACTTCCTACCTGATTTTTTGTGGATGAATTTTAGAACCGTCTTTCCAATTTCCTTAAAAACAATCCCGTTGGTACTTTAATTATAACTATATTAGCCTATGAATGAACTTGAGAAGCATTGACATTTTCCAGTATTTGGATTTTTAAAATGAATGTGTTGATTGTAACCTGAAGCTCGGTCGGAATCTAGATGAGTGTTCCTCAAATGTGAGGACTTGTGGTCCCCAAAAGATGTTGACATGATCATGTCTTTAGATCATCCAGAGTGTGCTGGGAGTAGAGAGGGGGGAATTGACAATCTGCCTGTGAGGCGTTTTAACCCTACTGATTTTATTCAACAAGCATTTATTGATGGCCTACCATGTGCCAGGCTTATGCCAGACTGACCTTGCAAAGGTGAAGAAGGCATAGCCCTTGCTCTTAAAGCCTAGACCTGATTAGGATAGAAGCATGTACATGGGGAAAGGATAGCACAGAGCAGGGAATGAGATGGAAGGACGGCGGGCCCACAAGACATGAGAGGCATGTGCCAAGTCTTGAGGGAAGAATGGGTGTTTGCTGGGTAGACAGGCTGGAAAAGTCTTTCACCAAGAGAGAACCTGTGCACCGAGAAGAGAAATAATGTAGTTTTTAAGAGTAACTGTAGGGAGGTCAATGTTCTTGAAGCATACAGTGAAAGATGTGAGGAGCTGGAATGGAGCAGGCCCGGGTTGCCGAGGGCATTTACCATACTGCAGAGTCCGGCCGTTGGAGCTAGCCGGCCTCTAGCACAGGGCTTCTCAGACTGTCTGGGTGGAAGATTTAAGAGACATAAAATTACTCTGTCAAATTGCTATAAAAGTTTCCAAATGTTCACTCTTGGTTTGTGTATCTGTCTCTTGTGGATAGTGACAAGCAGTTCTTGAACCCGTCTGTGGACCACACGTCAGTAGCACCACGCTAGCATCCCGAATCAGTGGGAAAGATGTGACTAGGGGATGGAGGTGTTATGACAGATCATTCTAAACAAAAGTCAGAGTCTACCTGTGGAACTGTGTGCATACAGATGATTGCCGCTCAGAGGCCGAGAACCATGTTGTAAGTGATACTGAGATATTAAAGGAAGTTACTGAATATTTTACTCATATTTTTACAACTGTATTGTTTGAATTTGGTTAAATCACTATATTTAAAAAAACAAAACTATCCTTCTCAAACTAAGTATATAAAATGAAGTATCTTAAGGCAGGTAATTTTTTCCTTCTTGGATGAAAGCAATGTTTCTCAGCCTTGGCTGCATATTAGAATCACATGGGACCCTTTAAAAATGATACTGATGCTGGGCCTCACCTTAGATTATATATCAGGATTTTTAGAAGCTCCACATTGACTCTGATGTGCAGCCAGCTCTCTCCCACGTGGGTTATGCTAATGACTCATAACGTTTTCTGATTGAGAATTTATGTCAAGAACGTAGCACAATAATTGTTCTCCAAAGCTATCAGTTGAATTTGCATCTATACCTAAAGATATTAAGATTCAGTGCAATAATCTTGTCTATAATAGATGCAATAAGAGTTTTCTTTCTACCCTGCCTGCCAAATACCACAAAGTATTTTAATTATAAGTGATGGAATACATAGCTTTCCATATAGCTTATTCAGTACCTAGAATATGTAATCTAGCATTAATAAATATCCTTATAAATTAGAGCTTGTAAAATCTTGATTCTTCTGTTGCCTACTTCACCTGCTGCTATCCCTGTTACAGCCGTTGTAGCAGTGATGGCAACGGTGTTGGGTGTTGTGTTAATCTCCAAATGAGATTTGATTAGAACAGCTTGCCATGAACATGCCTCTTACCCAAAATGCAACTATTGCTGAATTTTTAACATATAACCTCTCGAAATTATTTATTTAACTCTTCTTTTAGAGCATTAAAATTTCAGGTCTTGGTCTACAATATGGCACACTCCTTGATATTTTCTAAATCTTCAAATACCATACAATAATATCAGTACAGAAACACTTCCTGTGGTGAATTGTCTATTTATGGTGCCAAAAGCTAGCTGTGATGTGCAAAGATAAAACCAGTTTTTCCCTGTTTTGCTAGTGTGTTCTTCATGTGCTGAAGTGGTTCACTCATTCAGTAAACAGCTTTTGGGCACCTACTTGTGCTAGATATTGGAGATGCAAAGTTTAAGCCCCAAGTCCTTCCAACAAGGAATGACATGGCGGCAGGCTGCTGGGTGCCTCTGGTGCACAGACGGAACAGCTTTTATATGTGCAAATGAAAATAATTTTACCCCCCACCCCATCATTTCAAGTAGACTTTCACTTTTGGATATATCAGTATTACTTGCTTAAACTCTCTGTTTTCCCCACCTTGTTCTTTAGAAGGTTATAATATTAGGGAAAAAACACTCTAAAAGTAGTTTTACCAATTATTTTGGGGCCATGGGCCAGTCTTGAATCCCTCTGAGCCTCAGTTTCCGCTGCTGTAAGACCACCCCTGCCCTGTCCATGTGATTGTTATGAGGATTAAGAGAGACGTTACATGTAGCAGCATTACCATCAGAAATTTAAATATAGGAAGTGTCAGTGGACATTGTAAAACAATTTTAAAAAGAAACCTTACAAATCTGTGTGTTTTATGGACCACAGCAAAACACTTGGGTTTCTGAAACTCAAAATTGAAGATACACCAAAGTTAAATGCCATGGAAGTTTGCTTCCATGATGGCTTTTTTGCTTTTTTCTCAGCTCCCGAAAAAGAAACTTCCTGGGTTTTCTTTTCCCTCCTACGGTTTTGCAGTGGCAAGGCTGCTTCCTGTCAAGCGCAGCTCTGCCACGGGCCCTCTGTACAGACTCCACCTCCTCTTTCTCTTTCTTTCAAACACTTAGTACATTTAGAGACTGATCTTGTGCAGAAAATAGCCCCGCCGTTTGAAGAGCTCCAGGGGCTCAGTGAGCATGCTCCGACCCCCTCCCGCTGGGAAGAGGAAGCCCGATTGCATACGAGTCATACCAAGCATAGCCAGCATGTCAGCGCAGTTAACTTGCAGCGGGCTGTGAGGAAAGCGAGCGTGGCTTTGTCCTAGGAAATGTGCTTCGTGTTTTTCTTTTTTACTCCTTTTTTATTTTCGAAAAAAGACCTGTAAAGACTTCTGAAACAATTTTTAAATGCTCAATTGAGGATACAAAACGTATACCGTCTACAAATAAACCCTTGAAGGGTTTTGTGCGAGTTCGATTTTTTTTGTGCGTGTGTTCTTTTTTTTACTTTTACATACTTTGTTTTGATCATCTGAGGCCGGGCCTCCGTCTTTGTGAAGTTTAAGCGAAGAGCCAGGAGCTACTCAGCAATAATTGATTTTTGAAACGTACTCTTTTGGGGCGAAAGCAAAGAGCTGGTTTTCTGTGCTAGCCCAATAAATGCTATTTATGAAGATGGACCTGTTGAACTACCAGTACTTGGACAAGATGAACAACAATATCGGCATTCTGTGCTATGAAGGTAGAGCTTCCGTTCTGGAAACTGCTGTTCCACTGCTTTGGTCAAGGCCACTCCTTCTTTAGGGTTCTGAATGCCTTCTCTGCATTTTGTTCTCTTTCTTGGGACTTGAGGGTGCTTTGAAAAGCGAGCGGTTATTATGTACTGTTTTTGATACAAAGTTGGTTGTTTGGATCTGAGCCTTCAGGGTTCGGGCAGAGAGGGCTGGGGGGCGGGGAGGCGGTGAAATAGAAACTGTTAAAAGTTTGCTTTATGCTTGCAACATACTAACTCTTCAAATTTTTAACTCTTTAAAATGTTTTCTTTTCTTCTCTTTTTTTTTTTTTTGATTTCTGTTGACATTCTCATTAGAGGGAGTACTTCTAGGACCCAAGTAAAACTTAAATGTGTCGAGTTTTGTTTTTGTCTTTTTGCTTTGATACTTATTTTAAACATACACTCATGTTGTATTCCAGCAGTGCTTTGGATTTTCCTGTAGAGGGGAACAGAAAGTTACAGTGAATTTTTGTTTTTGGGAGTGATTACTCCAAACAATGAAGAATTTTTCTGTTCATTTTGGAGGACTGGAAGGGCACCCGTGTCACAGAGCACAGACTGGCTCTTTGTCTGATTTCCCATTTCCTGTACAGCTCTGAAAGAGTTCTGACATTGAAGGATGTTCCCTCCACACTCTGGTCCCTTGTGGAAGTGATTGCACAACACACCAACCAGAAAGCTAGATGAAAAAAAAAAAAACAACTCCGGATTCTTATTGTTTATTACCTCCTACGAAACCATGAGGTATTTCCCCACTGCCTTGTAGTATTTGAAGCCGTCTCTGTTAGTAGTAAGAAGAGAGAAAGCGATTTCTTAATCTGTTGGAACATTATCTACGTGCGATTTGAAACAGTGGTAATGGCCTGGGTTTGAGTGGCCGGAGAGGCATCTCTGGGGGAATGCAGCTTGGCAGGAGGAGTGTTTTTTGTTGTAACCACATACAAATCGAGGCACCATCTCCTTTCTGATTCAGCAGGAGCAGTTTCCATGTTTTCTCCTACAGTGAACTGAACAAGAAAACATTGAAGAAATGTGGGAGGGTGAGCCGACCCACTTGTATTTTTCATGTAAAAATTTCAGGCCTGTTGCCTAATCAGTTGAAAACTTACCCTTTCCCCTTCAAGAAAGAAAATAATCTCATTCAATTTTTTGTTGTTGTTTTAATTTATTTATTTTTTTTAACTCTATGGATAAGGATCTCATACTTAAGGTTTTTTTTTAAAAAAGCTTTTTTTGTTTTTTCTTTACTCCTAGTTGTTCCACTGATACGAATTTTGGTGAATTGCTTTCTTTGAATCTGCTGCTTTAAGTATCATCTTACTTCTGAAGTCCCTCATTTAAAAGGGAGACTTCTTCAGAACTAAGTAGCAAGCGGCTGGGCTTGTTTCCTGTGAAATTAACATATTGCAGTTAGTTTCTTAGACTTTTTCAGTGAACAAGAAATGAAAACCTTAAGGCGATTTCCATTGACTTGTGTTTGTCATCGAGTAATATGATATTTTCAAAACCAAACCAAAACAATGATCAGCCTAAGAGAAGAATATAAGGCTTGCTAGCAAATTGATAGCACGATCATTTTTTATGTCTCCAGTTGGTGGTGAGGAAAAGCTTATGGAAAGCGTGCCCAGGTTGATTTATTGTTGGGTAGTAGGTAACACAGTGAGAGCAGTCTTCTGGCTTCCTTATTTGGGAGGACGAAACTTTGATTTTGAAAGTTGAGTAGATATGTGGGATGATTTGCCATAGTCTGTTTGGTTTAAACATCTGCTGCTATTTTCCTTATTATGAAAGTTAACATTACTTTAACACCAAAATAAATACACAGGAAATGAAGAAAAGCACAGCAAAATTTGAGTGGTGTTTATAGTGGGTTGTTTATGTCCCAGTGGTTTTCTCAGTGTAAACACTGCACACATCTGCTCTGAACTCAAAAGAGTGTTTTGAAGATGGGCATAAATCTTAGATGGGATTTTTTTTTTTGGTAAGAAAAGTTGGAAGAGTTATTGTTCCTTTAGATCTGACACTTTGAGAGTATTCCTATTAAACATAGCACACCAGCATTCCTGGGAGGTTATTTGGAAAATGGAATGTACAGTTGGTGGGCAGCATTTAATTCCACTGAGGGCACAGGCAAGTTTCACATCTCTTAAGAATAAGGGACACGTTAATTTTCTGAATGTTTAGTTTTAAAAATTAAGATGTTGATGGTTAGTTTTTCTTATTCTCTAGGTTAGTTATAACATATTCGTTAGTTTTATTAACAGCTCTACTCTTCAAAATAAACCATGTTCTGCATCGTCTTTATTCAACCTCTCTACCAACTTAGACACAAATAAGTCTTTTTAAACCAATTATCTTGTTGCATATAAGGTCTTCCTGAAATCCCACATTCACAAAGTGGACTCTGAGTGGTTTAGGTAGGGCCTCTGCTTGGTGAATTCTCTCTGGCACTTTCACTGTAGTAATCTACAAGCGTAATTGAAAAGAGAGTAAAGGAAAAAATTAACCACAAATAGTAGGTTTGGGTGGGGTGGGGGCCCATTGGGATAGGAGAAGAAGATTGGTGAAGGGCAGGGAGAGTTTAAGTCTGGCTAACTTCTGGAAACTAACTAATTACCTTCACTGGTGGTGAGCAAATTAGCAGCACTCTGCTTATGTTAGTGTGTTTGTTAAAACACCTCATGGTTTATTACGACAATCCTCAACCATTAACTAGTTCATTACTGAAAGTTCAAATCGGTACCCACTTGAATCCAGATTTTGCCTCCATCTGCATGAAAAGGTCATAGGCCATCCTCAGCCTTCATTTTTTCCCTCTGAACTGAGAATACTCCACTAGTAGACTGAACGCCTTGTGATGGCGGGGCATTGTCTTGATCACTGCTGTGTCCCTGAGTCTGGCACGGTGCCTGATTTGGCTCTCAGGAAGTGGCTGACTAAAAAAAAATCATTGAAATCTCTCCAGTGGCATAGTTGCTACTGTGTAATTTAGTGTTTAATTATATACGATCTTCTATTCTCTAATTATCTAATTATTGCAAAGCTATGCAAGTCCTTAGACATATCAAATACGTTTACCTTGTTTTTGCCAAGGAAACTGAGGCCCAGAGAGGTAAATTGTCTGTTTAGGTTTCTTGAGAAGGTTTGTAGCAGAATTGAATTGAGGAGGGAACCCACTGGTTTGGACTATCCTGTGGTTCTTCAATACCATACTGGCTCTCCAACATTATTTTATGTCTTCTGTCCTTAATTATTAGTTCTGAGATGTTAGAGACCGGGTCCTGTCCAGGGACCCTCAGAGCCCCTAGCACAGGATGCCATCTTGGGTGACGGTGCACATCCAGTCTGTCCTGAGTGCTTCATTCCTCTGCAGCCAGTTGCTGGTCTAGATTCCCAGGCCGTTGCTCAGGAAAGATGGTAATGAGAACTCCAGGTGACCAAGCTTGTTAGAATTCATTCTCCTTGCTACTCTGGCACTTAGGTTTGCTTTACTTTTTCTGATTGTGCAGAGGAGGCGGCCCTGTGTAATGCCAGTTCACACAGAGTGTTTCCCCAAGGGAGCAGGGAGCTGGTTAGACCATTGACTTTTCTCAAGATGGCCGACGGTTATATTTACATAATTATTTGCTGCTGAAAACTTAGGTGTCCTAATTAATGTGCTCACGGTTGGCTGTGGCTTTAAGCTGCTGTTAGTGATACTTTAATTATGGGTTAAGAGCCATTAGTGTGTAATTTGGTAGCAGATTTCTCCCCTTTTAATTTAACACTGTGATTTATATTGGGAGAAAGTAAGAATAAGTTGCATATTGTGATCATCTGAAAGCTTAAGAGAAGAGTATTCTAAGTTCCTCAAATTTTAGAGCTGTTCATTGTTTTAGAACATAGTTATCACTTGTTTCATCACAGGCTACGTTTAAATTAATTTTCTGGAATCTAAAGGAAAATGCACACAACAAGAGTTGTTGAGTGAGTCTCTGCTAGGGATGTGAGCAAGGATGGGGGATGGGTTTCTTTTGTTTCCTGCCAGTCTAACTACCAGCAGTTTAATGGAGTCCTGGTTTCATTGTTCTTTGTCTAATGACCTCAGAGGGATCAGGAAGCTTAGGAGTGTTGGGTATGATTAAGGTGAAAAGGCCACAGAGCAGATCCATTTTGTACCAGCCTCTGGTCCCCAGCCCTGCAAAGCAAGTCTCCAGCTGTGGATCCAGGGGTGTGTTCTGAGGTAGAACATCTGCAACTATTTTACTGTGGAAGTTCATTTTACTTTAGCTTGTTATTTGTAGGAGAGGGTGAAGGGTAGGGGGTGGGGAAGAAGGAGGGGAGGAGGAATGGGAGGGGGAGAGAGCAGGGAGAGGTGGGGAGAGAGGGAGTGAGTGTGGGAGAGAGAGAGAGAGAGACTGGGAGGAGTCTGATTAATAAAACATGCCCAGGTGAGCCCAAGAGGCTCCTGTGAGAGAGCTGGCCGGTTTGTGTTTCTTCTAATTACAGTTTGTGAAGGTGTGATTACACCCTCCTTCCTTCCAGCTCCCCACCCTTGTTTCTCTACCCTCTTCTGGAAGGATTATTTTACTTGGCTGTTTATCTCTTGGAGCCTACACATGGCTTTGTTTTGGAAGGCAGGTTTCTCTTCCTTCCTTCCTCCTTCCCTTCCCTATTGTCTGCATGGCCTTCTGTTCCGAGGGTGCTTCCATTTGCTGCTGTGAAGAAGGTTTTTTTAACAAGATGCCGTAGGTACAAAGAACTTCCTCATTGGCATGTGAGGAGATTCAGAACCTCTCAATATAGTTCGGTTCTGCTCGATTGTGAGGATATTGCAGAAGACAAGGTTTTGTCACGAAGAAATTAGATCCAGATTGACCACTTCTGCATGGACACAAATATATGAAACCAGTCTTACAAGGGATTGTTTCTGGCTCTATCTGTTTTCTCTCTCTGTCTCAACATTTATTCAGTGACTGTTGATATGT